ATGTTTATTTGTGATCATTTAATAGAATGCAATAGTCATCGGGGAAGGAAATGGATTTTTGAACTTGAAATTCTTTTTGAAAGGCTTTGCAAGATTTTAAGAACTTTCGTGTTGCCATCAGAGCTATTCGATGTCGAATTTTTTAAACTAATCCACAAAAATCTTGATTAAACAAAGCGGTTTCGTAAATTTCAATAAAACTAATTTTCAAGAGCTTTCTTTACTTTTAATCCATAGTTAAATTTATTTCAAACTTAAACCACAAATTTTGCATGATCGGATGTTGAATTTCTGAATGAATTGACTTGAAAGATAACCAAATTTGGCACAGGAAATTCCATTATTAAATCAATTAAGTTTGAAATTTTCATTGCCATTTATATTTGCGAGTCTAGACTACTTCTCACGTAAAAGTCATTCAACAACAAATAATTGACATTAATAAAGTCAAAAAACCCTCATAAACTTCTCAAAAAAATTTAATTGATGAGTACCAAAAATATTTCTCAGATCTTTATTAATTATAAGTAGAAACCTTTATCCCAAAAATTTATGCTTCTCGGTAAACTTTCGATCTTTGTAAAGTTTATTCGAGTATTTTCTGTAATATAAATAAACTTTGATCCGTAAATAGCGCTTATGAGAGGTGTTAAAAATGTTTCCTTTTTGAATAAAATGTGAATTTTCTTCTTCACAGCATTTTTTTGTTGGATATAAATTTTGCATAAATTAATTCTAAGGGAAATTAAATTTATTTTTCTAGTTTTATTATTTTAGGATATAAAATAACTCTGGAATAGCTTAGTAGTCATGCAGATGTAATGTTGAGCATGTTAGTAATGTAGGAAGGTGTTTGAAACTTACATCGTTTAATAATTTTATTTAATTCAAAGTCTTATGCTTTTTGCAGCACTCAAAGTAAATATTTTAATCAAAAAACTTTGACAACAAAAGAAAATTGTATCACTAGGCTACATTGTAGGACCCTGACCTTAACAACATCAAAAGAAATTCTTTTGAAATAAATTTTAACAATTTAATTAAAATGTTTTCTTCATAAATGAAAATCAACTGAATGACTCATTTCTTGCTCATTTCCTCAATTTTGTATGAAACTGTCTTATAAATAAATTAGAAACTAAATAAACATGACTTTCGAAAGAATTAATGAATATTTTAACATCTTTGATGATTTCTTCCGAAACAAACATTTTCTTGATTAAGAATTTTCCGAAAATAGCTTAAATAATTTATGGTTCTACAAAATTCATAACTTAATGTTATTACACAGACTGATTCTTTATCAAAATCCACAAACAAACCCGAAAGGCACACGGCATCTTGTGCATTTCGAAACGTTCATATGTTTAAGACACAGAAGTGTAGGACTGTCTGAGATTTTGTCAAGGAATTTTTTCCCCAAGAAATTTGAGACAAAAAGGCGGGGAGGGGGGGGGGGGGGTTGAAATTCCCCCATGTACCCCCTATGGAAAATTCTAGAAAAATCGAGTTTTTTCGAGAACATGAAAATTTTTTCTCTCTCAACCTAGAGCAAGTGTTTTAGACCTCAAAACAGATGTGAACATAAAAGTGATGTATGGAAGAAAGTTACTACAGACTGAGATGCATTCAACGTAATGAATGTGCAGAACATCTATTTGAAGATTGCGGTTGCTAATGAACCCTTGTTATTCAGATTGTTATGTCTAAACATGAGTTTCACTTTAGGAGGCTCAAGGAGGATGTTCTAATGTCAACTCACATGTGATGAGAGCACTTCTTCAATTTTCAAAGGTTCCTTTATTTGACAATGATCATGATTAGTTCCTTTTGAAGCACTGGTAAAAATAGGGAGCTAGTAAGTCAGTTAAAAAAGTTTCTGTTCCAAGCTTTATACTCTCAAAAATCAGGTTGTCTCATTTTTACTGGACACACTCAAGACTTAAAAATCCTAAGCCATAGAAGTAACTTTTGGGTTGATCACTTTTGTTTCCTGAAAAGCTGATCTGTATAAGCTAGCACAGAGATTATTTTGTAATTCTATCCACAATTTGTTCCTTAAATCACGTAAAATTTTAATTAATCAAATAAATTCATAATAATCCTGTACAGCTCGGTTCCACTTACAAATCATTCCATACAAATAAATAAAAAAACTTTCATCATACATATTAGCAAAAAATAACCAAAATAACAAACCAATCTTTCTCGTTTTCCTTCATTCTACTTGCAGATGATTTTCATAATTAAGATAAAGAGCTGAGAAAATTTCCATCATACTATATGGCATTAAACTACAACATCAACAAGAAGAACTAACAACGATAAATCTTTCTTACATTTACCAAGCTAGCAAGCAAACCATGAGAATGAAGATATAAGAAAAATGAAGGTTGAAGATTAAACTCGATGAAAGGAACAAACTTTAATGTTTATGAAGAAGCCATCAGTTGTGACTATAAAAATAGGAAACGTGCAGTTGATCAAAGAAGGTAGAAAAACTATAAAAAAAAAACGTGAGTGTGTGGTGTATAAGACTTTGTAAGCAGCACAAGAGTTTAAGAAGAACAACAAATTTTAAGTGAAAGAACAGGCAGTAAAAAAAGAGAATTTTTTAAACAAATAAATAAAAAGTGGAAAAAAATTCTGAAATGTTTATGTACACAATGAGTATGTGTGTGATATAATAACATAATAAAAGGAAGTGTCATAATAATTTTCATCTTATACCGTATTAAGAATTACGTGAGTGTGTGTTTGTAAGTGAATGTGCTTTATTTTGCGAACGACAACTAAGAAGAAAAAAAAAATTCAATACATAAAATTTTCATCAATTGTGACTTTTACTCAGACTTGGAAGCTAGGTAGTTATTTTATTGTACGGGAGTTTGAGGGTATATTGTGGCATACGGATGGTATAGAATGATAGTAAGGTGTTGGAGCTAGGGTTTTCAATCCCGGGATTAAAATATACCGAATTCCGGGTTTGATCCCATACATTTCAATCCCTGGATTGAAAACCCTCCTTAGAGCCGAGTAGAATCATGACTAGACGAATTTTTGTGAATCATACTAGATTCCGTTAGCTTTTTCGGCCTGTTTCACTAAAGTGGATTATCCTCGATTTCGGATTATCCACTTCAGTTTTTTGAAAATATCGCCAGACGCTTAAGGTTATTAAGAGATCTAATGTGTGATCTAGCAAGAGTGCTTTGCTCCTTAAATTAACATATACTTAGAATTTTTATTTCTTCATTGGTTTGAGAATTATAGCAAAAATCGAAGTTAATCTACTAGATTTGTCTAGAAAATTGAATAATTAATACTTCTTACAAACAAGTAAAAGTTTATAGTATACAGAAATTTCAGACATAGTTCACTCTATTAAAATCCAAAATTAGAAATACCACCCCTCCCATAAAGTTTAAGATATTTCCAAAAAACTGAAGTGGATAATCCGAAATCGAGGATAATCCACTTTAGTGAAACAGGCCGTTTATTCTTAAACTTTACTTTAAGCTATCTTTTCAAGTTAGAATGAGGCTAAAATTGACGATTTGTTGCTTTTATGCTGATCAATTACTAAATATATCTGTTAACGTGGCTCACATGCAACTATCAATTATGTATCTTCAATGCTGTTTTTGTGGTAGGAAAGGTCATCTAACAGATGTGTGTATTGATACATTGATTTAACAAAGAATATTGTGTCAACAATTTTATTAATTTGACTCTCTTAACCGTTCGTGTTAGCTACTCTCAATGTCATTAATCTAAACCAGTGTTGGCCAACCCGTGTGCCACGGAGCACTAGTTTTTTGGTTATGGCTTAACTCCAAGTGTACAGAAGCACAAAAAAGGTTAGACACCTCTGATCTAAACAATTCATTCGGGGGTGTGGCTGTTCATCAATGACGTTCATAAAAAACGAGATTTTAGACAGAGTTGTCACCTAGTAGAATTGTTTGAATAATTTCGCAAAAAATAGACACTTCCATGATTCTTATATAGTAATTGTTTTGGTAATAGCATGCTTAAGATATGCAGTGCTTTTGGCTAGGTATTGTCTTTGACTAGGCACACTTTTTTCCCATTGGTTAAGCATGTCTTTACATAAGTGTTGCCTGGACAAAATAAAAAGCTACAATGCTCTGGAGAGGCACTATTCCAAAGGTACCTATCTGACAACTCTGTGCCCTAGAAATCAACCAAGATTCGCCCATCTTCACCATATGCCAGATTATATTCATAAAAAAACATCCAACCTACAGAGTTTTCAAGTCTGATTACTATTATTTCTGTTCTCATTTCAAAGTATACCGTCAGTGACTGAAAGAAAGCAGTAAGCAGGAAGTGTTCATGAAAAAAAGCTTTCTCGCTAGAAGGGGAGAAAAAAAAGAATAAAATAACAGAACAGAGCAAAAAAAACTTTATAAATTGTCGTCGTCTTTTGATGTTATAAATAATAAAATAAGTGAGTACAAGAGAAGGAAAGAGAAGTTAAGCAGCACAACATTACATTGTAATAACATAAGTGTGTATTTCATCCTCCACACGGCAATAAAAAAGTAAGTGAATTGGAGAAGAATTTCAACAATAGTGGAGCTCAGAAGAAAAAATTTAATGCAGTAGTGCCAAAATCTTTAAATATTCAACATCATCCAATGCATATCTATGACATCATCATGAATAATCTGTCAGGGACGGTGAGCAATTCAGTTATAAAGTGTGACTAAAGCAAATAGAAACAAAAAGGATCTTATGTGTCTCGCATTGCCTTGTGTAAACAGCAGTGTCGGACAGCAAATAGAAAGAAGTATAAAATATTAGCAAGCCTCGTTCGTAAGCTTCTCCTATCAATTTTCTATTTAGATTGAAAAAAATAAAAACAGCACAACACTCATTGCTCCCATTTAGACCAGAGTGTGTCAATGTGTTTGTGTCTATAATCATCATTACCTAGTATATACAACTTACTTCTATAAATGGCGACTGGCACCATGTTAAATGTAATTTCATTGTCAACAGATTATGCCATCGTTGATGATTATTTACCAAGCAACATGTCCTTGGATAATAAAAGCATAGCAATTAATATTTCTAGTGTGGCTGACGATTTGCCACCGTATGATGACTTATTCCATAAGCCATTAACACTTGTCATCTTCTCCCTCCTTTACATTTTGACATTCTTGTTGGGACTTTTTGGCAATTTCCTTGTATGCTTTGTTGTCGCACGTCAACGCACCATGCAAACGGTGACAAATTTCTTCATAACAAATTTAGCATTTGCTGATATTTTATTGTGTCTATTTTGTGTGACACTCACGCCAGCTTACACAATGATTGGACAATGGATATTTGGAAAGTTTTTATGTCATCTTGTTGCATTCCTGCAATGTTGGTGCGTCTATCTATCAACATTAACTCTCACGAGTATCGCAATTGATCGATTTTTTGTCATCATCTTTCCATTTCGTCCACGCATGAAGGTGTGCACATGCCTATCAATTCTACTGCTAATCTGGATTATAGCATTTCTATTGACATTTCCATATGGATATTATATGCAAATTGTTGAAAAGGAAGAGGATGGAATTGAAGTGACATGGTGCGAAGAGGCATGGCCGACGGAGGACATTCGAAAAGTTTTCGGAACTGTCACGTCAATATTACAATTTTTTCTGCCTTTTCTCATCATTCTCGTGTGCTATATCTCGATATTTTGCAAATTGCAGAACAACAAGAAGAAAATATCGAAGAGTAAAAATTCAAAAAAGAAAAATAATTGCGAAAAGGTGCTGAAAAAGAAAACGTCAACGAATCAAATGCTGGTGCTGATGGTGACAATTTTCGGATTCTGTTGGCTCCCGCTCAATCTCATCAACATACTCGATGACTTTACAGTGAATATGAATGAATTTCCATATTATAATCTGTTGTTCTTCATATCACATCTTGTCGCGATGTCGTCTGTCATTTATAATCCAATTCTTTATGGACTGCTGAATGAGTAAGTACTTTGTTTTTGTTTTTTGTCCTTTACATTCAATCTGGGATGTGGAATCGTTAGTTTTATAGCTTGCAAGAACTAAATTGGATTAGGTATTGTCATTTGAATATGAATGAATTGCTAGAATGTCATTTTTAAAAATTGCATAGCTTGACATTGGCATTGAACTTTACTGATGTCGTAGTTTTGAAAGAATTGCTATTGATTGAACTTGAAGAATTGTAGATCAGGGTCAGTTGAAGAAGCACATCTAGAGAAGTTTGATTACAGACTTACAAAACTTACCCGACCATCACACATTGAAATGTTTGCCACCAAGCGGCTGGGTTGATAGTATAATTAGAACCAAGCGGCTGCTGCTTGAAAGCCACTCTCAAGTTCACCACAAGTGGTTGCCTTGTGCCATTGCCAATTGAACTATCAACCCGTCCGCGAGGTTGACAAACATTTCAATGAATTACATTGTGTGCCGATCAGGTTATATTTGAATTTAATGAACTTGTAGCTTGTGGACCAGTAAAGCCATAAACCGTTAGCTTATTCCTGTGATATCCATACAAACTCTTCGAACAAAGAAAAAATCAATCATATGCTCTGATTCACAACTTATAAAAACCCACGCTCAATCCAAACAATATTAAGATAACAACCTTAAAAGTACCAGACACTTTCATTATAACCTAAAGACAACAATAACTTTTTAACATCATGATTCATCCAAAATCAAGCTTTACATTTTCCAATTCTGAATAATCTCCCAAAAAAACCTTCTTCGAATTAATTTCCATAAGATTGTTCCCAGACATCAAATATTTAAGCCATAGACCAAATTTTCTGAGAATTTTTCTTCATTTTTTTCACATTATTTGAAATTTAAATTGCTATAAATTGAATTTGGAATTCCAACCGGCTTCAAATTCATTCGAATGGCATGCAAAGTCAGATAAATTCGCATGAAGAAGCACAAAAATTAATTTTATTATAAACAAATTTCCTCCTGACTCGTTTCGCTCAAACAAAATGAATCTCATTGTCCAATTTGATGACTCAAAATGATTCCAACAACAATTGCATAGCCATAATGACCGAATCGGGAGAAGAAAACAAATATTGTGAATGAAACAGAAACGTCTGCGAAACATTAAGCTCCTGTGTTTATTTATGAATGGATCGTCATACTTGGCATAATTGATGATGATTTTTCATTTTTCTGAGCAGTTCCACCTTTAAGAATAGACGTACACGCAAAGGATTGAAAGAATTTTTCTTTGTTCGTGAATTGTAGGTTAAGGTAACAATGGAACTGCTGGATTTTTCAGGCACAATTTTTTTGAGATTTAATTGTGTGTTAATGAACTTAAATGCTTTGAACGGAAGTGACACGGATGAAAAAAATTGTTTAAGTTTGTGGCAATTTTGCTTTACTTCCGTTTTTGGGGAATTATTGAAATTTAAGATTTTAACGTTAATAATAATAATAATAATGTGAGAGGCTTCCAGCTAGGCGTTGTGCTACTACACGTTGCGACGAGCTGAAGGTTCTGCAATCCTGATCGTAATCAGGTTAACGTTAATCGATTGTAGCATTAAACTTGTTAATTTAAATTGGAATGCTTCAAATTAGGGAAAATCCAATCTTTTTCGTCATGCAATCATCACTGAGGTCAAGTCTCTGTCATTTAATCCTCTTGCCACTGGATGTCCAACCGACTTATTGTTGCAAGGCTAAATCAATATCACTGAACCAGGTCTCTAGAAAGGTTGATGGTGTCAAAAATCCAACGATTAACGCCCTTGATTCCAACCATGGTCAGCAACCAATTTGACTTGAAAATTAAATTGACCAAATGAGTCAGAAAAGATTTTTGACAAACTAATTCAAAGACCATATTCCAAACGGCACGCACAACAAATTTTATAATCTCTAGCAACATCTTCCGTCCAAAGAACGTGCTTCCTACCAAATAATTCTTGCAAGCTTTTTCCCTTCTAAAATTCCAACAATATTTTTATTTTGTAAAATCCATAAAAAAAAATCTCATATTTCCATTTCCCATTCCAGCAACTTCAAGAAGGAATTTAAGCAAATTCTGCCTTTTTTGTTCGTGAAAATTTCAACGCATCGCGATTTAAAGCATCCAAAAAACTTCCTAAATTCATTCAATCGTCGTAAGGACGACGAGAATCTGATTCGTAATGGTGAGAAGACGCTTCAGGAAACGACATTTTTACAGCCCAACAATGATAATGTGATGATTAGTATTGAGACAGACATGAATAATGTTGATACAGGAAATCACAAAAACGAGAATGAGAATGGTAATATAACACAAAATGGAAATTCACAAAAACGAAAAACTGATAATAATCTGATGATCATTAAGGGGTGTGATGAGATTGCGACATCATTTGGTGAACAATCGGGTTCGGATAGGACAACGTCATCGCGTACAGCTGACACGTCAATTAGTTAAATGTACAGTTATAAATAATTATCTCCATGGAGAAATCAGAGATGAGTGGTGAGTACAGAAAATGTTTTTATGTGCTTTTGGGTTTGATGGATGTTAAGTTTAACTGAAAATGTGATTTTTGGATCATTAACTTCAACTGGACTGTCCTTTTTGGGACTCTAGATACGCTACTTTTCGCAAAATAGTTTTTATTTTTGATTCAAACATCTATTCATAGGAAATAGACATATAGAGATAATAATCTCAAAATTGGGACGTGCGTAGATGATGTGGTAGCATGATAGGTTAGTGGAGACTAGTAGGAACCATAGTTTGTAAGTCCCTACGCCTCAAAAGTTTAAGTCTGCTGCCAATAAGATGCTTTATTCATTACATAACATATAAACAGCTTTTCCCTACATTTAAAGCGGTCCTTCCTCATATTTTTTTGTTTACCGCTTCATTTTTTGATTCTTTAACAATTTTTTCAACTATTTAATATTTTTATTTTTGTCTGTTGATGCGTCAACAGGCTCCAGAATTGTTTTTTATGAATTTTTTTCATGGATGATGAATTTTATTTCAATCAACTTTATTTTTATTACATTTTATTTTTATTTTATCGCCACTTTTTGATGTCAACACAATTTTTTTATGAATGCTGAAAATACCATACAATTTTTATTGATTTATGCCTGGTGCGAGATAAATGATTTGGTGAATAAAAATTCAATTAGTTTTATTGCGATGAATATTTTTTGAAATTGATGACTTTTTGGGGGATGGAAATGTAATTAAAATTGGAAAATGTTTATTTATTTATGGAAGTTCATGGTATAAGGCAGTGGTGTCCAACCTTTTTTTCTGTAACGGCACACTCGGTGTTAAGCCATAACCGACACTGTTCTTGGGATATCCCTAGTTTTTCATGTCACACTAGTGTGCCGCGGAACATGGGTTGGTCATTACTGGTGTAAGGTCATTAAACTTAATTTTATTTGCAATTTTTAAAAAATGATTCAGATAAAAAATGTTTTGAAGCTTATAAAAGCTTATGTTGCATCACAAAAAAACATTTTGATGATTGTTAAAGTTTGTCCTATGAAAAATTCATCTCATCTGTAAACAGATTTTAGCAATGAAAGCAAGATCAGCATCAGTAAAACACATTTGTACAAAAGCAACCCATTTGAGATAAAAGCTTCAATTTGTTATGGATAATGTGTGAACAAACAGATGTGCTCTAATCAGCTGGAATTTGATAGTTTCTGTAATACTTTGGACATTCAAGATCTACAGACCGAAAAATGCTTTTTATTGAAGGTTCAATCTATTCAGAATTTTCTTTTTAAAAAAGCAATTTAATTTTGTTGATGGAATTTCAGCTTCTTTGCCATCATTTTTTGAATTTTAAAATAATCTCCAATCTAAAAACCTTAACGAACCAAAGTTTTATCATTGAATGGAATAATTTAAGTCTTTTTAAGGATTTTTATTTTGTATCAAAATCTTCTTGACATTTTCTGACACACAATGTGAGTCTAGACTTTTAAAAGAGCAAGTTTTTTTTTGCAATGTGCTGCACAACAATACAGCCATCACTCAATCGAAGGAAAAACCTTTTTATTTTCATTAAACGTCCGTAAAAATTTCATTACATTTTGTATAAAAAAAAGTTGAAAAGTCGACATTTTTTTATTATTAAATGGTTGGTTTTTAAATGCAACATTGGCTATTGTTTTAATAAATGTTGTATTTTGGGTTCTGTTAAGGAGTTTTTAATTGAAAGTGTTGAATGGTTTTGTTTTACTGTAAGTTTTGAAATTACCCCAAAGGCACAAGTCAGTTAACTGAATATTAATCCAGAGACAAGCCGACATGACACTGGCATAGTGCTAGCTTTGATTTAAATCTAGTACCACGAAAGATTCACACCGGTTTGGTCCCGGATTTCTGATCGTTTAAATGACATGAGCCATTCGGGATTGTTAATGACATTCGATTTAACATCAAACTCTCAGGAATTCAAAAAAAGCAAATACAAAGTTTATTAGGTTTAAACCATTTCATTAAATTTTTCGCATCCCTGTAGCTTAATTTTTTAAATTCGGACAAAATCTTAAAATTTCAAAATTGTTTCAAATTATTTACATTTTAATGTCTGAGTTTGACAAGGGTATGAAACTGAAAAATTGCATTTTAATCAAGGCGTGGAAACTCAGGATTAATCTCGAAAAATCCCAAAAATCCTAAAAAAATACAGAAGTCCTCGTGTTATTGATCGAGGGACTTAAGCGCATTTTTGTGTTAGCGATCAGTATTTGATTATCTTTTTATTTTGCGTTCATTTACAGATCATTAGAAGATTAGAAGATCATTAATTTTAGTGCAATTAGCAAATAAATACAATGAATGCTTATAAAGAAAGGATTTGTTATTTAACGGCCAAAAAATAATTTGAAATTTTTCACGCTAAAAGTTGCACTACGAAAACATTAGTTATAGTATAATTAAATAATTTGTTCCAATGAATTTCCATATAAAAAGTTTATCATTTAACGATTATTTGAGATTCAAATTTTCTAACGGTCAGTAAGTTTTTGAAAGCTTCCCGCCAAAAGATATACAAAAAATCATTAATTATAGTATATTTATCAATTTAATATCTTTCTTTCTCCTATATAAATTGTTTATCATTTAACGGTTTTCTGAAGTTCAAAATTTTTTAACGCTCGTATGCATTTGAAAGTATCTTGCCAAAAATTACAGTAAAAGCATTAATTATAGGATAAATAACAGTCTATTGCAAAAAAAAATTCATATAAAAAGGCTTGGTAATTTAACGGTTTTTTGAGATTCAAAATTTTTCAACTATAGAAATAAATTCGAATTTCTAAACGCTCTCATCACGTGTTTTTTCATATGAAATATAAAAATCATTAATTATAGGACAAAAACACTGTTTCAATACTTTTAAATGCGTTTCCCGAAAATAAAACAATGGACCTGAGCTAATAAAACAAACTAGAACTCTATACGATGTCTAGTTAAAAAGTTTTTCTCCGCCCGAACGAACAGACAAATTTAAAACTCCTGATGCATTTGATGAATAATTTCAGGATTTGAATGTGATTTTACATTTTCATGTTTATAGGCTTTGTGATTTTTTCAGATTTTTGGGATTTTTCAGGATTAATCCTGAGTTTTCACGCCTTGATTTTTTATCATTTTTGACCATTTTTGATCATTTTTGATCATTTTTGATCATTCTGTAATCATTTTTGATCATTTGATCAGTTCCGCACCCCTGGATCTTGCACAACAAGCTTAAAAACGTTGTATCCGTACAAAGCCATGATAAATCCATACGAATGCAATAAAAATTTAAAAATTCTTCCACCTTTTCTACATTCAAAATAACTTTCCTGGAACACACACTTTTGAAATAAATTTAAATTTAAATCCATTCTTCCCCGCAATTCATTCATCCATTGAATACAACAAATTCACAAAAAAATATTAAAGCAGAAGTCAAATACAATAAAAAGCACATTTGCCATGCCACCGCAACAAAAGCATTCTCGTTTTCCTTTGAATCCTCCTGGTAATCGAATATACATGAATACATCCACAGTAAAGAGAATAAAATGATTATTAGCATAGAGCAAGAAAAATCACATAAAAAGCTTTAGATTGTAAAATATGGAAGAAATCTGCCCATTTTTATGGTTTCAAACTTAAACTCTATAAACCCCACCAATCCAAATAGAAAATTTTATTTTCGTTGGAAAATCAAATCTATTCTGATACATTCAAGACTCAATTTCAGTCTCCAAAAACTGAGGCTGCTTAAAAGTTTAATATTTCAAAGAATATATTCAGAAAGAATTTGAGATTTGAAGAATATCTTCAGCATAGTTTGTGAAGAATTGTGTTCTGTTTTGGATATCAAGTTCAAATGCTTGTTGCTGTTAAAATTTCTTCGTATTTCAACTTTTGCTCACTTGAAACTCTTGATTTTGAATTGAATGTTATCAATTAGAAATTTTTGGGGTTGAACTAAAATATCTGGGAAATTTGAAGCTACTTGAGGGGGCTTTTGTGATGTTTATAATCAATGTACTTCAGCACAACTTCATCTTGATGACAAAATAATATTCAAGAGTTTGCAAAGCATGAAATAAGGCTGAACCATGGGCACAGACTTGGGAACCAGGAAATCAGATCATCCAGAACAGTATCGTCTAAGTTTGGGCAACACTGATTCTAGATTATCCCAGCTCACATCTCTTTTAAAAAAATAAGCTTTAATTTTATTAAAATCCTAATTGAATCATTAAAGCATGAAAATATGTGGCATTTAATGAAACCCTTTTCTGAGCGTTAATGTATTTATAGAGGAAATGCGGCACACAATTTATTTTTTTGTTTGCTAAGAGAAGGGATACCGAAAGAAATAAAGGGGAAAGAAGTTTTGTTAAAGAGTAAGAAATGTCAAGACATCAACCTTTCCATCACATGCATAACATTTTCATTTGTAAAGAATTGAAGGGAGAACATAAATTCTAGAATGAAAGCTTCTTCTTGGTATTGAACTTGGTGTGGCATGAACACTTTGATGATTGGAAGGAAGTGGTATTGATGTCTTTAGTTGGTAGATTGTCAGCAGTGCCTGATGCTGTAATGTACAACCAACTTATCTGATCTGTGACATCCCAACCCTAACTTCTACTTATATACACAAATGTTCCTTACAAACAACAGTATTGATCCAAAAAGTCCCTTATCAATAAAAGCTCCATCCAAAAAAGATATTCGTGATCTCTTCCTAATCTTTCGTATTTGGCATTTTCTATATTTCAACAGAAAATTTCATGATTTACATCCACATTTATATACACTAACAGGAACAATAAAACAGCCAAAATTTAGCAGCATGAAATAAAAGCAACACGAAAAAGACATTGAATGGATTTTATTTCGTGAGATTTTATCCACATAAATAACACAGCAGCATCATCATCATCATCATCCGGTAATGAATTTCCTTCTTTATGATGCCATCAGAA